GTCTCAATTCAGATACTTCCCTTTGTATACTGCATGTCGTGCACTGTGAACACTTTAATAGTGCATGGATTTTCACTGTCTAAGGTTGTCTGTAATGGCACACAGCTGCTGGGCCCGTAATGGAAGTGACAATTGCTGCATTTAGCATCGTTTGCGGTACCAAAACCCAGATGTATAACTTTGATTTGTACATCGATGTGTTCACCAGACTAATTCCACAGTATTTATTGTGTACTTTGCCATACTTTGGACGCACTTTTGCACTTAAAACAGCGAGTGTAGAGCTGGCACTGTGTCCTCAGAGCTGAGCTGTTCTGTGAGTGGAGTAAACAGGGAATCATTCAGAGGTTATCTAATAATAAATATTATTTATAGATATGTAACCCATGACCAAAATGAGTGGACAGAGACCTGCAGAAAGACATGAGGAAGCTTAATTCAGTTAAGTTAATTTCACTATCATACTAATACTCTACATTCCTACAAATGTAAGCTGTATGACTCGAGCACAATAAGAGATTTTATTGAAAATGGGTGTCATTAGTGAAACTATGAGTATGAATAAGTGATGTATAAAAAGGTAAGAGAAAAGGAGATTCTCTATGTCTTATATTTCACATATATGATCATGTAAATGTTTTATATCACTTGTACAAGTGTGCTGTTCTTTTAAAAGTAAAATAGTGTTCACATATTAAAAGTAAGAGCATGTGTGTTAGTCTGAAGAAAATGTTGTTTTTTTAAATCATATATTTATTTATTTGTTTATATGTCTTTAATCCTTAAGTGCATTATTCATTTAAACTTCAAAAAGTAAAAGATACAAATGATATTGGGCATTGAACAACAGTCATTTTTACCTTTTACTTTTGGTGTGGCAGGTTCAAATTGGGGTGGCTCACCCACATATTGTTATGAGTTGTGTGTGTGTGTGTGTGTGTGTGTGTGTGTGTGTGTGTGTGTGTGTGTGTGTGTGTGTGTGTGTGTGTGTGTGTGTGTGTGTGTGTGTGTGTGTGTGTGTGTGTGTGTGTGTGTGTGTGTGTGGCCTAGTGGCCTAGCATTGCTATACTTGTGGGGACCTAAATCTGTTTACACAGTCACGTGTGGGGACTCGCCTCCCTTATGGGGACAAAATGGAGGTCCCCATAAGGGGAATCATTACTTTTAGGGTGAAGACTCGGTTAGGGTAACGGGCCGTCTCCACGGCAGCGTTAAAAAATCTTGAAACGCTTCTGCCCATTCACTTTGAATGGGGTGACGTCACTTTTTTTCGCTTTCGCCGAAATGCATTGTGGGCAGGCGAGCGGAGATTCTCAGGATTTTCAAGATCCAAAGTTGAACAATGTTCAACTTTTGAAGCTGAGGAGGAAGCGTCAGCCAATCAAATCCCGTGTACGCAAATCTGACAGTTCAAGCTCTAGCCAATCAAACGGCGTGTATGCTGGGAGAGACAGACCGCAGGTCATTTCCTCATATTCCAAAACATGGAGGAGAAATTAGCGGTAGCGAATCAATCACCCGGTGCTTTATGACCAGACCTACCGGGATATAAACCGGAGGAGCCAGGCATGGAGGGAGGTGGCAGAGACAGTGGTATGTTTTCGCCTGTTTTGGGGAGTTTATATCCAGTTTACTTCGGGCTTTTTGGCTTCATATGTCGCGGGCGGGAGATTCATGTGATTGGTTGATCGCAAAAAAATCCCCAAGCCTCAGATACGCCCACCTCCAAGATTTTTTTAACGCTGCCGTGGAGACGGCCCGTAAGGGTTAGGGTTAGGGTTAGGCATGTGTTGGTTATGGTTAAAGTTAGAATAAGTCTCCAGGAAATGCATGTAAGTCAATGTAATGTCCCCTGAAGTGATGTATACATGGTGTGTGTGTGTGTGTGTGTGTGTGTGTGTGTGTGTGTGTGTGTGCGTGTGTGTGTGTGTAGTACATAAAGTGCAGTAATTTCACGCTCCTGTAGCTGTAGCGTCTGATCGCCCCCCCCTCCCCTCTGCTCTAATGACTATTGATTATTAATTGAGTCTTTCATGAGACGTGAGCTCTTCTGATTGGTTTCATATCACAGAGTTCACATGAAAATCTGATCAGCCTGATTCATGAGCTCATTCTGCTTTTATTGAAGTGCTCAGTGGACTGCTGCGGCTCGGCCAGAACAAAGGAAAACTCCTCTTTTCATCCTCTACACTCAAAGTTTCTTTTTTCAGACAAAGGCAAACATTTTTTGTGATGTTTATGACAAGACTCAGGCCCCATTTACACCTCATATTACTGTAGCATGTACTCTTATGTGGACATGATAATGGCAGAACCAATACGACAATCTTAAAATACTTATTCGATATAAAGTCTAGAATTATTTGTGTTTAAGGGGAAGTACAAGTTACTTCGATTACAAAAAGTTGATTGGCCCTGAGAGATAATAACATTGTTAATAATACATTTAAAGCAACATGTACCTGTTGAAGCTGATAGATGTTTAGCTAGTTTAACTACTTCATATGCAGTTACGGTGTTTAAAGGGCCCAAAGCACTTCCAGAGAGGCGAAGTCCCTCCCTTTCCGGGGGACCTCCATGGGACCTTATTTCGGAAAAAGTATGTATTGAAGTCAATGGAGAGAAAGATTATCTTTCAATCCCGTTTGAATTGTGCCACGAATTACACATATGATGTTTGTCAATTTAAAAGATAATTTTGCAAGTCAAAAAAATAAAAATGTGTCGTACAACTGTGAAGTAACACTTTTTTTGGTGTGAAACCGCTCAATGAACTACATCTCCCGTCTCGCACCCATACTTGCCAACCCTCCCGATTTTCGCGGGAGACTCCCTATTTCATAACCCTCTCCCGGTTTTCTCCCGGGGTCATATTTCTTGCCACTTCTGCTGGTTCTGCACAGTGTCAGCTGGTTTCAGATGAATATTGATGACAAACTGAATCTGAGTAGATCTCCAGATGAAAAAGAGCTTTAAAAAGATTAATCTTTATGTAACTGGGGCTGCAGAAAAACTCTAGCCTTAAGTCTGTCCTCTTGCTCTGCCCCAAAAACCCTTTACAGGTGCCCTTATTCTGAATCAGCAGCTGCTTCCAGACCTCCATTCACTTTGTATGCAGTGCTGTACAAATACAGTATGGCACACTGATGTAATGGTGTAGTATTGTTGAGGTGGCGAAATATTGTTAAGGTGATTCGATGAAACGTGTGATCTGCAAATCGCCTTTGAGCATAGGTAAGTTGAAAGCAATAATATTAAGTTTAAATACAACGTTAAATTCAACTTAATAGCATTGCTTTCAACTAAGCTAATACAATAAAGTGTAATTTGTTGACATAATACATTTCAATACAAGTCAATGTTTTAGTTTTTTCAGTGCACACTGTCCCTAACTCAAAGTTAAAAGCCAAAATTACACATTTTGTTGCCTAAGATTCCTCTCACACTCATTTAAAAAACATTGAACACATACAAGACCTGCACCATGTGTCCATCAAATAACACATTTGCAGTGAAGTGATGAGAAGTGAAGGGTAGTTGGTAAAAATGGCTCAATAACTGTAAAGAAATGTTACCATGCTTCCTTTGTTCAAAGTCTTAGTGTACCACATCATAGTAGGCTGTCACAGTCATGTGACTCATGTCTAATCCAAAATAACAAGGACACTTTTGTAATTTATGTAGAATATAAATTCCATTCATGCCGCCTGTGGAGGCAGAAACATCTAGGTAGATACCTCAAACCCTCACATTGAAACGACCTGCATCGCTGGATTAAATGCTATGTGATTTGCAGAGACTTTTTGTCCACATCATTTCCTGCCGACAGAGTTAAATAGTGGTGACAGGGATGAAGAGTCATTACAGATTCAGCTGCTCTCTGTAACAAAAGAAATCCTGATGGAAACTGATACGCCAATATCTTCCTCCTGGATCTCTCCTCGTCTCCTTTCAGTATCATTTTACCTGTCGTCTATCTGTTACACTCACATGTGCCACCCTGACCCTTTTTCTTTCCAATTTCCACACCCTCCCCTCTCAGGAATTCCTTTCAGTATATTTTTTCTCAGTTTTTCTTTTGTTGATGTTTAGTGTAACCACAGAGTTGTAGGATCTTACTGTTTCATCTGTTATACCAATGATGTCAAATCTGTCTGGGGATAAAGTCTGAACTCATTGAACTCTGGCTGTATGGCATTGAAGTTGATACATAATTAATTGAGATAACTAGATTCGTAATGTATAAGGCACTTGCTCTGTCTCTGTACAGAACAGCAACATGAAGTGATGTGGTGAGGTGAAGAAGGACACAATTAAGGAAAGTAAAGCACATTTATAATGAGATATTAAACAGACTTCTGCAATTGAGTTCAATGCAGTGAGGTGTCATTTGTCACATGTATTATAGACGGTGACATTTCTGCATCAATTGGTAAGACTGTGGAGAAACATTGCATCTGTGAGTGGGGAGAGTGGTACTGCTACTGTGTGTGTGTGTGTGTGTGTGTGTGTGTGTGTGTGTGTGTGTGTGTGTGTGTGTGTGTGTGTGTGTGTGTGTGTGTGTGTGTGTGTGTGTGTGTGTGTGTGGTAGCAAGACAGAGAGACATTTGATTTGAGGATTAAGGCACATGATCTGTACTTCTGGTTGACAACAGCCTACACAAAGCCTTGAGATCTATTTGATTCAGTGTGTCTCTGTGGTTGTGTGTGTGACATGTGTGTGTTAGGTTCTTACAGGCCTGTGTGTGAAGTTAAGCCCTACCCAACAGGATATCCTCACTCTAACAAGGTAGTCCTGCCAAGAACAACACTGGTAATCATAAACACAATAAACAATTTAGTTATTTGATACCCAATTGATATCCAATACACAATGGTTACTCAGTGGGGCTGTTTTTTCTTTGGTGTGAGCAGAAAACTACTTCCACATGTTTCTCAAGATGTTTGAGTCCCATCCCCCCCCCCCCCTCCCCGGACTCACAGCTGAGCTCCGCCTCGGATGCTGCTGGTGCTGTTTATCTGATTACCGCGATACCAGAGCTGCGTCTCCTTAAAGCGACACTCCGGTTTAATTAATGAGACTACCGGCAGAGGAGAGAGGATCGCGGAGGATGCAGAGGAAGAGGAAGCAGCATCCGGCGGTGGCACCACTTTCTCCCTGCAGGACGCTTCACTGCAGCGTTTCACCGCCTTGAGGTCATGATGCCGGCTGTAAACTGAGCCTGGATACCAGCAGAAAAACCTCCAAGACCCCCCTCTTCCCCCATCTGCTCTCCTTCCTGCGATGCACGGACTGTCAATGCGTCACACTCTCTTCTCTTCCTGCGTCGTTTCTTCCGCACACGCGTCGAAGCCTTCATGCCTCATATTTAGGGTATGAAATTTGCACAATCGCGGCATTTCGCTCGTCCTACATTGGCTCTGTAGTCGTGGATAGATCCGCGGTTTGCCCGAGCCTGTCCGGCCTTGTGCGTTTCTGCGTTCATGTTCGCCGCTCACGCGTCGCCACTGCCGCGCCGCCGTATCCGCTCCTCCTCCTCCACACATGGACTATGATATGATACTATGTGAAGCGCGCGTCGTCTTCGCGTTTCCACCCGCGTTCTGCCGCTGATGCGGTGCGCCTGGATGCTTGCTGTCTCCTTTGCCTGGCCGCTCACTGCGCCTCTGGGCCGGGGGGGGCTGCTGTCCGCAGAGAGGCAGGATGGTGCGGATCGCCAGCGCGCTGGGGCTGGTCATGTTCAGCGTGGCTCTGCTCATCCTGTCGCTCATCAGCTACGTGTCCATCAAGAAGGACTTTCTGCTCAGCACCCCCAGATACGGACCTAATGGAGGACCCAGGCTGTCCATGTTTCATGCGGGGTTTCGGTGAGTACAGGCCTGGGTGTTCTGCTGTAGACGTAGGACACTATGCTGACTGTTGCACCAGATCAGCTGAGAGGTGGATTATATATTTAGTTACTCCAGGTGCATGCTGACAGGGTGGAAAAAGCATTTGAATGTGACTTACTGTTGATACCTTCTAATGTGACATATGTTTATTGCCTTAAATCCTTATAATAATGTTATTCTTGTTCCAGTTTTCCAGTTGAACCTTCATCTCTCAGTTTTGTGCTGGAAGGATGGAGTAGTCTTATCAGGGAAATGCATAACTTCACCCACTGATACATGGTGTAGCATATGTAGCTAATGGAGGTGTTGATGATGAGGCACAGATGAAGGCCTCTCTGCTGTCTGAGGCCCACAGACTGAGCCGCTGTGTTTTCATGCTGCATGCCGGCTACTGTACTGTATGTGTGGTTTGGTTGATCTCTGTGAGAAAAGGTCTTTATTTTCTGTTTCAAAATATTCCCTCTGATCTTTTTTTACACCAAAGGGCCGAACATTAATAGACCCCCTCATTCACTTAATGACCCGGGGCTGTTGTTTGTGGTTTCAGCTAGGCCCAAATATTCAATAAAGGAACATTGTAATGATACAAAAGTCTGCTTCATCAAGGCGCAGACCTATGACGACATTAAAGTCCAATGCTAATGTTTTAAGAATAGTACACAACAGTAGCCTACATATAACTGAGTTACAGTATGGGTGAGGTTAGGGAGAGGTCGAGGTTATAGTGTTTAAAAAGTAATCATTGAACTTACTTCACCCTTAAAATAATAATTACCACGTTTAACAGCAGCAAATGTATATAAATGAATGAATGAATGAAGTTACAAACTCACACACAACTCGTGTAGTACCCAAACACAAATGCAGTTTCACTCAAATATTGCTATTTAAAACTGTTAGTCTCTGACATTTGGGGAATTTGCTTTCTTGCCTAGACTTAGAATAGGTCTCAGTACCACTCATCATATCTGTGTTTTAACTACAGCACTGAAGTCATGATGTGATTAGCGTAGCTTAGCATAACGTCTGGAAGCAGGGGGAAACAGCTACCTTCATTCTGTTTAACGTTCAGAAATACACCAACACCTTTAAAGCTTAAAGATTAATATCAGTGATTTCAATTGCAATTCAAGAACTTCTTTGTGAAACACAGTGACTTCCTGATGTTTTTATGGGAATCAAACACTCTGTGGACAACATGTTCATTTGTGAGCTTATAAATAGGCTATAGAAATAAAACAAACACAAATGCATAAGGTTACTTGTTCCCTGCAGGATGTTGGGTACAACCCCGCCATTTCATGTTGGGGTTTGTTCCTCGTCCTGGCGGTTGGCACATCAGGGTGATGTCGCACACACCACCCTCGTCTTGAAGCTGACTGGGAACCCTCAGGCGTTTTTTTTACATCTCCAGCGTTTCATTTGCACACATTGAGTGCTTACAATCTTTGCACCCTTTATTCTGCGAGAGGCTACGTGCAGTGAACCGTGACCTCAGTTCATCACAAGCCATTACAGCCTTATGTTAGAAATATGAACAGAGCCAGGCTAGCTGTTTCCATCTGCTTCCAGTCTTTGTGCTAAGCTAAGCTAATTGCCCTCCAGCTCCAGGTCCAAACAAAGACAGAGATTTTAAGAAATGTGACATACAAACTGCATTTTATTATGATGACCTAAGTTACAAAGGTAGAAACACACAACTACTACTCTTATCATTACTACTTTTACTGTAGGTCTACTTTTACAACTGCTAATCTACTCCTAGCACTGCTACTACTTTGTTGCTATTTTTTCCCTTTGGCTACTTCTACTACAACAGTTTTTGCCACTACTACTGTCACTTCTAGTATTCCTACTTATTTTACAGTAAAACTATTGTTATTGTGACTACTACAACCTCTCATATCACTGTTACTACTACTAGCATCTATGTTAACATGTAGGCTAAAGTATTGAGCAACTGCTTGAATTCAGAGCGACAGAGTTTTTGATGTAAAACCTTATGAAGGGGAAGCTTTTTGACAATCTTATATATTTTTTATGAGACTAATTCTGCTCTGAACTCATCATTCTCAAATCATCAGCAGAAATTGTGTTTTTAATTGAAGAACAAACAGCGTAGGCATGCATGTAGATGCCTCTGCAAAGCATTTCCATCAAAACATCTGAAAAGAAAATCAATTCCGATTTATATTTTTTAACAGACAGCTTTATTCATACATTGTATTTTAAATGTACAGAATGAATAAGCAGACCACACTAAATTTTTCAGGTCAACGCTGGATAACACTGCTTCGCTGTTGTTGTTTTTTAATGAGGAGATCACTTGGCCCTGATAAACTGGTCTACATGTAGTTCATGTCAGTGTCTCTCAGTCACTGTGAGTGTGTATCAGCCTGAAGGAAAGCAGGGCATCTGTCACTTAATCCTACAGCTGTGAAATACATCGGCTCGTTCCACCGCAGCTCTTCTGTCTCTCTTTAAGTCCATTTCCTGCCATGATTCCACTTATTTTATCCACATTAAGTATCTTGCTATAGAGCGATTTAAGCAATTCACATTTGATTGTGATGGAACTTCATTTCACTTAATGTTGTAGCATCTATGAGTTAAAGGCAAAATGGGTTGAAACACACACAAAAACAGTCATACGTGAAAAGTTATGGTCGTGTTTCTGTTTCATGTTTAGAAATTAGCTCATTGTTCAGCTGGCTAATATTTTTCAACTGGGTTGCATCTAAATATTTACAAGGTGTTCACATTACGCCTTAGTAATTTATCTAAAAACATCAGGAACATATTGTATTTCAGAAAGACTGATGAAGGTTACCCCCTATTGAAACGATATAGTTTACAGCGCTAAGGGCTCCAGCTAACATATTAGTATATATCGTGGAGGCTGTGTGTCTGAAAACCTCCAGGACTAGTTCAATGGTCAGATTCTCAATGAGTAAGGTGTGTTTACATCATTAATACTGCATCAGATTCCAGTCCAATCAGGAAGTCTGGTGACACCAATATGTCTGATATTTCTGAACAGATCTCAGTAGTGCCACTGCAGTACAGCTCCAGGAAAATCACTCTGTAAATCTTTGTTGACCGATATGTCGGTCAGGCCCAGAGGGCGATGCTTAAACAGCCTCGTTCTGATGGAGGCTCTGGAGGCCAGCGAGCCGCCCTTGGATCTGATTTATAGCACGAGGACCCGCATTTATTTTCCTTCAACCTGTAATCATTTTCCTCCTCGCTTGCCGTCACCACGGGCCAAGGTTGCGCTCAGATTGAGTTAGATGTGAAGGTGGGCAGCATGTTGAAGAGAAAACAGTGCAGTGGACACATCTGTATACGTTTCCTGCTATGTTGTTGTAGAATTTGAGTTTATGATTAGGAAACATAACATTTGTTTGTTGTGCTCTGTATGCAGTGCAGCCAGTTCATGGAGACTTAGACCACATGGTCTTTCCCCTGTTAAACAGTTGGCCAGACGACAATGACAAAGAGTGTTAAAAATGAACTTGGTGACACCACCATCGGGCACTAATTCCTACTGGACTGCCATACGCCTAAAGCCTTGTTTTATCCTCTATTTAGCCTCCTAAGCTCCCAAAGTGCATACTAGTGCAACTCTAAATATGTGCAACAGGCATTGAGCACACAATCATTTCATTCAAGATCCATGATGGACAGGTTATTGCCATAAGACTATGGAGAAATACATGTTGTTATCGCTTAATATAACTCAAACAAAGTCAGGGATTGTACCTACTGTAGTTCACCATCTTCAGTTGCAAAAAGTGCCTTACAACTCAAACGACCACCATTCAAGATGTATTGTGTCATGATTATAAGTGTTTTATTCTTACTATAATATCGAGTAAGTATTTGAAATGCACTTTATCTCTGCATGCCAGCTCTTTCTAGATCCTTTCTGTCAATGAAATGTCTTTTTAAAGTCACTGGTGATGATAAAGATATGAATGAGTTCATTTTTTTGTTTCACATTCCTCCTGCAGCGAGAGGCCGCCTCGTAAACCTGTCCTGAGGTGAATACAGTGTGCTGACGTTTAATCCAACACACAAGGATGCATTTTCACTTTGTCTTAATACTTATATTTTCCCTGGGAGCTTCGATCTTTATCTATCTATCTATCTATCTATCTATCTATCTATCTATCTATCTATCTATCTATCTATCTATCTATCTATCTATCTATCTATCTATCTATCTATCTATCTATCTATCTATCTATCTATCTATCTATCTATCTATCTATCTATCTATCTATCATTAATCATGCATCATGCATTAATCCTCTGCATACTTGTGGGTTGGTAACAAAATTGTACCCTGAAAGGCTCCCAAATATTATTTTGTATGTCTGCTATTGGCTCATCTGTAGTAGATACTGTTCTAATCAGTAGCTTTTCAGTGCTGCAACTCTCTGGCTGAGCCTCACTTGCTTCAAAGATGGCAGAACAACAGACTAAGGCTGATGGACGCCATCACATCCAGGTCGAACAGCATTTACACATACATTTTAAGGTTTGGCTAACACTGTTGGATTGTGGTAAAATCCTTTGTGGTCAAAACTTAAACTGTCCTTATGTAGTAAATGCTACTGACCTCTATGCAAAATGAACAATTTGAACACTGCCATAGCAGGATCTTGACCTGAAACCTTGACATTTTGACGATTAGTCAAAGGGAGAAGATTAGTGTTAAAGAGGCAAGTTTTATGTTTAAACCAACAAATCACGATTGTGGAAAATCCTCCATATCTGTCTTTCCAAGAGAGCATTGGTTTAATCTTTGTCGGTCCGGTAGAAACACACACGGTAACCAATATTTGTTTCTCAGGATGGAGGCATTTGAGTTAGGCTAGCAGTTCTCCTCTGTTTTCACTCTTTTAGCTCAGCTGTGCCAAACATAACCTGGACCAGGGGTGTCAAACTCAAGGCCCGGGGGCCAAATCCGGCCAGTGACTTCATTTTATGTGGCCCACAAGAGTTGCAAAGAATATAATATGTTTATTATTCGGTTACATGCCGATTTACAGAAGCACGTTGCCCATAAACTACATGTCCCACAATGCATCTGAAATTTGACTTGTTTCTCAGAATTTGACTTTCTTAGAATTTGCCTTTTTCTCAAAATCTGACTTTTCTTTCAAAATATCACTTTTTTTTTAAAATCATTTTGTGCCATTCTCACTGAAGAGACTTGCAATTATTTGCCCTAGACTTCTGCTTTCAGACGTAGTTAATTATGAAGTTATTACCCTATCCGATAATAATCCAATGCAGAGGCAATAATGTAATATAATACATTATTTTAAATATATTAAATATTTATATATCTATTTTGATATACTGTAGTCTTATATATAAAACTGGCCCTTTGAGTGCAACCATGATGCTAATGTGGCCCGAGATGAAATTGAGTTTGACACCCCTGACCTGGACCATCCTCTCTCTGTACCAGATGCACAGTGATGTCCTTTTTTGTTATTTGCTCTGGGTAAGACAGAGTGTTGCTTTTACAAGAACTGCACTGAATATAACTTTGACCTAGGAAGGAAGTCATTCTACCGAGAGAAGTCAAATACAATCAAAATGTCAAGGTTTCCGTGCAAAAATGAGACATAGAAAGCTTACTGTATACTGGTTAGGTCTTGTTTTATATATAATCCTTATAAGCATTGGATTGAGTAAAGGCTTCATGCACTGCAAGAAAATTGTTCATCTTATCAAGTACGTTGACATCGTAGTGTTGACATTATTGGATTTCTCATGGAGTTTAAATAGATAGATAGATAGATAGATAGATAGTACTTTATTGATCCCAAATTGGGAAATTGTTTAAATGACTCTAAATGTAGTAAACAAAGCATCATTTCAGATGTGACCGTTTTTTTAAAAACCATGAAAGGTAAAGAGTAAGATAAAACCATATTTGGTAAATATGTGACTTCACATATTCAGTCTGAAATGCACTTGCTAAGATGGACAGAATTTCTGCAACAGTTTAACCTTATTGCCTATTTTCCCGAGAGCACTGGGTTTATTTGATTCCAGATAAGAGTAAGGATAGAGAATGTAAGTATTTGTTTACACTGAGCTGAAAGTGTAAACACAAATGTCTTTATCTGTTCTCCACTGCGCTTGGTTTCCTTAAGGATAAGTCCTTATACTTTTTGCTGAATGGCTCAAAAACTTGCATTACGATTGTCTTCTTCTTGAGGTCTTATCGCTGTGGAACTGATGAAGAAAAAGACAAAATATCTGTAATCCTTCATTTTCTGCAGAGGCCAGCTGAAGCTTTATTTCTTTAATCATTTCTACAACGGGACAAGAAACACGAGCAGTCATGTGATCCCACTTAAGTTATTATGGCACCTAATTGAAATGTGTGTGCAAGATATTTAAACAAAACCTAGAAGGAAGTTATGTTGGTGTTTCATGTTGCTTATTGCAAAGAAAAGAAGCATTTACATACAATTAATTGGAATAACATATGACTTTCTTTCACTCTTTTTAACATTACAAATAAAAAAGCATCATTGCTGGTGTCTAGGTTCAAGAAGGAAATCAAATGGAAAGAAAACAGGTAGAATCTTAAATCAGAATATATTTTATGCACACAAACGTTTTCCCTCCAAATTAAAGTGGTTTCAATAATCTGGCTAAATTGTTGCCTTTTTTACAACCTGACTGTTTGTATTCCTTGCCCTGTCAGACATATGATAATTTAATGCTTTGCAATGCAGGTAAATGGGGCATTATCTTGTTTTAAAAAAGCTCAATTGCAAGTGGATGAAGTCGACCTCATCTTAACACGAAAGGACGACTGGGTTAACCTCCTTGTTTCTAACTCCCCCTTCTTCTCCTCTTTCGTATCCTCGTCTGTTCAGCTCCCAGCTGGCTTTGAAGTATATGGATCCAGGTTTCAGTCCTCTGACAAACGCCCTGAGCGAGGACCTGCAGAACTCCTCTAGATGGACCTACAACAGCTCGGCTTTTCTACAACTGAAGTAGGTTACTCACACTCCTTAACACTAACAGTTTCACATTTCTCATCCAATCTATTTAAGTTCATAGTTTTGCAATATGCATCAAACTGATGTTTAGTGATCAGCTGATTGTCTGATGCTAACATTTTGCACTTCCTTGTCAAAGCAGTTAGAAACAAATCCAAATTAATTCTCCCAAAAAATTGAGACAAGGACAAGTTTTGTTTAAATTCCGTCATAGCACGTCTTACTTTAAGATCTCATTTACTTACAGGCAAATCCAAGTCTCAAGTCATTTGAAACAAGTCCTATTACGTTTTGTCACCACTCGTGTCATGTCCATACTCAAGTTTGATCAAAGCTACCAAACTACTAATAGCCACTAACTTTTAGCCAATAGAGTTAACCAAGGAAGGATCACGTCCTAGGTGGAGTATGTCTTTTAACTTCATTATACCATGATAGAAATGTTAGGTTATATTGCCCACCACTAAGGTCGACCTGGAACAACCTTCTGTCCAATCAAACACCATAACACTCTTTAGGTTTTGCTATAATTGTGTCCACTCCTTGTAGATTCACATGGAACAGTAAAGGTCACCTATTATGCAAAAATCCACTTCTTCATGTCTCTTCTACATCAACATGTGTCCCCTCTTCTTCATGTCTCTTCTACATCAACATGTGTCCCCTCTTCTTCATGTCTCTTCTACATCAACATGTGTCCCCTCTTCTTCATGTCTCTTCTACATCAACATGTGTCCCCTCTTCTTCATGTCTCTTCTACATCAACATGTGTCCCCTCTTCTTCATGTCTCTTCTACATCAACATGTGTCCCCTCTTCTTCATGTCTCTTCTACATCAACATGTGTCCCCTCTTCTCCATGTCTCTTCTACATCAACATGTGTCCCCTCTTCTTCATGTCTCTTCTACATCAACATGTGTCCCCTCTTCTTCATGTCTCTTCTACATCAACATGTGTCCCCTCTTCTTCATGTCTCTTCTTCATCAACATGTGCCCCCCCCTCTGTGTAAAGAGACTCTGAAAGTTTCAGGAAAAAAGATTCTCTCTCTTTTTGTCCTGATCCATTTATATAAAAACCTGTCTGAAAATGAGCTGATCAGATTTTGGCCACTTATGATGTCATAACGATTTCTTGGCTTGTGTAACCATTAGCCAATCAGCAACCAAGGTAACCCCCCCCCCACCTTATCACCTGAATCTCCTCTTAGAGCACCATTGTGTTCTTTTTAAACAAATATCTCTCAGAGGGGCGTGGGGAGGGGCTCCTTATTTTCATCTAAAGTAACAGACAGAGAATCAGCACTTTTGAAACAGGGCTGAAACAGAGGGGATTATGGGATGCTGCAATGATCTGTTTGGTGTTTGGAGCCAAACACTTCAGAGACATGTTTGTATATATCTGAGACCTGTAATATGTTGATGAAAAACAGTATAATAGGGGACCTTTAAAGAACAAAACTGTCCTTTGTGTCTTGCAGAAAGGAGATCTCTCAATACATCGACATCCCCCACAACTTCTCATTGGTTAAAGACTCAGTGAGAATCGGACAGCTGATGCACTACGACTACTCCAGCCACAAGTACGTCTTCTCCATCGGAGAGAACTTCCGCTCGCTCCTTCCCGAGGTCTCGCCCATCCTCAACAAACATTACAATGTTTGCGCCGTGGTGGGAAACAGCGGCATCCTCACCGGCTCGCGCTGCGGCCCCCAGATCGAGAAGTTTGACTTTGTTTTCCGCTGCAACTTCGCACCCACCGAGATGTTCAAGAAGGACGTTGGGCGGCGGACCAACATGACGACCTTTAACCCGAGTATCCTGGAGAAATACTACAACAACTTACTGACTGTGCAGGACAGGAACAACTTCTTCCTGAGCCTGAAGAAGCTGGACGGGGCCATCCTGTGGATCCCGGCGTTTTTCTTCCACACGTCCGCCACGGTGACGAGGACGCTGGTCGATTTCTTCGTGGAACATCGAGGTCAGCTGAACGTCAAGTTGGCCTGGCCTGGAAACATCATGCAGTATGTCAACAGGTAAGACACACAGTAACACTGCAGTGTGTTAACAACACCTTGTACCTGGGTTATGTCATTTCAACATGAGCCTTTTCAGTTACACCCTGTATTTATAAGCATTTATCCTAATGCAACCAGCAGACTTCTCTACCAATGCTATATTAACATTATGAGCGATTATGAAGCGCCAAAGAATCCTATGTTTTAATTGTTTAACCATTTCCCCTATTGTCCTATATTCTTGCCATTAGTTAGTTGTTTTACCAACATACACTTATGATAAAGCAACCCTTCAATGGCAACTCTTCGAAAATGTAGCCGGCCTTTTTGCTGCTTTATACACTGGACATCTTTTCCAGCGAGAAAAGCCTTTAGTGACTTCCTTTGCATTGACCGGTGTTACTGTAACAAGGCTAGCTAATTATTAGCATGTTCGCAATAAAGAAAACAATAATTAAAACAATAAAGAAAGACTCTGATACAACTGATACTGTTGCACCATCTAATCTTACCCAGCGAAGAGCCAGTATTGTTTGCAATTTGTCATGTCACACAGTATGATTACAAAATTGCTTGTGACAGCTCACATGGATTTGACTTACAAGTGGACATTTAGCCTGAGATATATATTGCCATTCCCTCTAAAAAAAGAACTGTGATGTGATTTTTGTTCCATATTTCTACCCCTAGGTCTAGGTAGATAGTTTAAATGTATTCTGACTTAATTGCCTCTCGGATTTATAGCTTTTAAAGTGAACGTGCTAACATTTAGCTATCCCTGTTTACACGTGATAAGGATGGTTAATACCGTTTACCTAAAAAATGACAGCAACCATGTTACATTCTGTTATTCTGTCAATCAATACCTGTTACCTTATTTCTCTGTCCACCTGTGTTCAAAATGTCCTCATGTATCTCTGTCTTGTTTGTACTGTAGTAGTTTGTGTGGTTGTATTGTGCTGTGCTCTATATGTCAAAGAGGAGATTTACTGTAGACGCCAAAGCCGGATTATAAAGAAACAGCTATTTAGTGAAAGGTACGGCACAGAGCTGTAAGTGTGTGTGTGTGTGTTGAGAGGGATTTAGGGCTGGTGCTTAGTGTTGTAGCAGGCTGCTCGTACAGTAGCCTAATCTTCACCAATCCCATTAAACCTACCTGCTCTGGAAGAATTACCACGTTTAAGCAGCTCAGACGGCTTTCAGCACCTCAAGGACTCCTGGTGATGGTTTTGTTGAGGTTTGGTTTGGAGAGTTCCCCCTCTGTGGCTCTGCAAAGCATCAGCAGTGGTCGGATACGTTTTTTATATGAGGCCATTGCTTTCAGTAACATCTTATGGTTGGATCTCGGGTGAATACAATGGCAAAAATAATGGACGTTAGTTTTTTTGGTTTATTCAAGTCTCTGCCTACATCCACATCTCACATGACGTAATAGATACTTGGACATTAATCAAATTCAGATATTTTATGTTCAGAAATAGCCTGAATAATATGGAAATACATGTACTCTGAAGGCTGGCATGATACATTTGGCAAAATCTAAATTTCTACAGCACTTTTACCTTAAGTGAAATGACAGTATACTCGCCTCTCTGCTGCGATCAGTTTCCCTTCTATTACAGAAATCAGTTTTCATTCCTTTATTTTCATTTCTGACCAATCCACGCTAAGCTGTAGGTGAAACAAAATACATCATCACTGCAGCTCTCTATAAGGTTGTGATAATAAACAATTCTTCTCCTCACTTGTACTCAACAGTTACTGGAAAACCAAGCAGCTGTCTCCGAAGCGCCTGAGTACGGGCATCCTGATGTACACGCTGGCCTCCTCCATGTGCGACCAGATCCACCTGTACGGCTTCTGGCCCTTCGGATGGGACCCCAACACGGGGAAGGAGCTGCCGTACCACTACTACGACAGGAAGGGCACCAAGTTCACCACCAAATGGCAGGAGTCCCATCAGCTTCCCGCCGAGTTCAAACTACTCTACAAGATGCACATGGATGGACTGCTGAAGCTCTCCCTCTCCCACTGTGCTGCTTAGTGCTAAAGCTGCAGCAGGTACAGCGCTCCTTCAATCTCCAACGCTTCCACGGGCCAGAGCTGTCCAGACGACAAGGGAAGGATTCGTGTGGTTTTTGCCAAACATCTAAAATCTTGTCTCTGAGGCTGAGTTGGTGCAATGGGCTCAGTAACAGAAGCCCCTGTTTGACAAACCGTTCGCGTAAACTGCAACAGCTCAAGGAACAATGAGTCTTTTCATCTTCTTCTGCTCAAGAATGCAAAGCAGTAGAGGAAAAGGTGGCTGAAACTGGACTTGGAACTAAGCAGCAAAAACGGAAAATTGCTTCACAGTGTTTTTACAACTCATCAAGAATGCTACAAATCAGCAGACAGACATTAGAGGGCAGACTTATCCTTGAGACAAAGGGCCACGGAAAAAAGGTGAACATGGCTCAATATCATCTCAAATGTAATACCGTGTCATGCAGCCACACACTGTGCAGAACTGATCAGATATACGTAAAAGCCCGCATCGCTCGTAAAACCAATCATGGAGAAAATGATAGAGACATTGAGAGATGAAGAATCCTTTCTTATATAGTCCTGAAGACAGTGTGTTGGCGTTTGTAAGCTCATGAATCAGTTCCTCAAACCTCTTGTACCATTATTGATTCACGTGTACCTGAAGCAACACGCGACCACCACCAGGCTTTGTTTCGACGCAGTGCTGCTTTTCGTCTGAACTAGGGTTCGCGATACCTTAAAATATTCTAACCAGCAACCATCAGCCCAACAACCGCTGATAGCCAATATATTAGTGTGATTAGTTTTAAGTTGGGAGACCAGTGCGAGTTTGCTTCATTTCTACAATCTCCTTTTGCCTTTTTAGTCTAATAAATAAACAACTCGTTCGTGGGAGGCAGACCATTAAAATAGTAAAGCGACAAAAATCAACCGAAATAAAATATGCCAACTGCCTATTGCCGATATATACTGTATGTCCAATTGCCGAAATGGTGATTTTGAAATGATTACCAGCTGAATTGACATGAATTACAAAATGTAGGGATAACGTCTAATATCTAAACAACTTTAGATTAGGCACTTTCATATTCATTCAGTCACAGTACCATTATTCTTAAAACTGCATAACCCTAAATATTGGGGTAAAAACGTCCTGAAACTATTTACATATCACCTCAAAGAGTTTAAATGTAATGATATTTATACATCCAGCTGACACAGACCAACATAATCATGATTTGAGTTGTTTTTGTGATGAATGTATGTCCAATAATCTCCCCCCTCCCCTGTTTTTGGTCTCCTCCAACCTCCGAGGGAAATATCTATTTTTTAGCTGCTAAATGCTCCAATTAGTTCACCAGCAAACTATGTCCGTCTGCCAATCAAAACTGAGAGGTTTCAGCAGAACCTCTTCTATGATATTGCACAAGACTAAATTCATGTATAGACTTTCAGACTCTATTTCACGTCTGGTTGAGTTTGACGCTTTGCCAGAATATCAAATAGCACAACATATATCTTTAGGTGAGGTTGTGTGTCCATGAGACATCAGACAAGGAGAAGCACACAGAGAGGGATGTTGGATTCAATATGTCACCATTTTGGATAAAGGTAGGACTTTTTGTAAAGCTGACTGATGTTAGCTCGCCGGTTGTGTACTATGCAAGTTATCAGGAAGAATCACTTTGAGACTGTATGCTGCCATTTCCTTTCTTCCATGTTGTGGTCATGTATGATAGTGTCTTAGTTCCATATTGGTAGATGGATCCATTCACATCTTTTAACACTTACCTTAAGTGCAATCCATTCATCAGTGCTTATAGAAACTGTAAAAGATACCAGTGGACCCAAACTCTAAAATCTATCTCTTGAAATTCAGGCATTAGTAAAAAAAATAATAATGCTTTAAAATAAAAAATCGTTAGTTGTTTTAAATTCTATTTAAATGCTCCATATGATTACATGATTAACATAAATGGCACTCGAAGATTGCAGACCGTCGCCAAGGCTGTCTCCATATTTAAAAACAATGATGTATGTATCCGCCCCATGATTTGATGAGGGAGGATGTGGCGCAGTGGCCTAGTGCGTTGGTGTTCGGATCAGGGGGGCACAGGTTCAAACCCCACTGCAGTCAGCATGTCGTTGTGTCCCTGAAGACACTTCACCCCAAAATGCTCCTGTGGGGATTGTCCACAGTACTGAGTATGTAAGTCGCTTTGGATAAAAGCGTCTAACAAGTAACATGTAATGTAATGTAATGATTTCCATCACCTCCAAAATTAAGTGGTTCTTCCTTGGCCCAAGCTCTACCTTACCATCAGGTTTAAACCCAATTGGGACAGTAGTTTTGCCATGATCTTGCTGACAGCCAAACAAAGTGAATTGAAAACATAGTGCCCAAGGTTACTACAAACTGTTCTCTCCTTTACAACCAATGGATCGATCCCTCACCTTGACCTCCACACACTACTTCCTGACATTGGCATCAACTATGCTTTGTGAGATTTGTTTTAAATTAACATAATTTGTAGGGATACTAGCCTAGCATTTAAGTTTAAGATGATGTAGGGACTGAGGTGATTGCCCCATACTGAAGCACACTGCTGTCACATATGTATTTAGAAAACGTGAGTATTGGATGTTCTTTTTTTTTTTTAGGAAACTGATTGAGCAACACATATAATCAAGAAAACATATTTTGAAGTTCTCACTTTGCAGGCCTGGTTAATTATATTCAGCATGAGACAAGAAGAGTCTTTTAGGTAATTACGCAACACTAAAAGGAAACACATATAGAATCCAATTGTACATCAACTGCAAATGTAAATTGGATTAAGTAGGAGAAAGAGTCCACAAATCCAAACGTTGGTGGTTTCCCGGGTCAACAGTGGACACTGAAAAGTGTATCGCTCATGGTGACACCTTAAATCACCTTTCAGTAACCAGTGTATGAATTTGTGTGGAAACACTAATTATGACTTGTGTGTTGTCAGCGCTTGGTCACAAAGGTTACGGTATAAATCCATTTACCGTCACATTCTGGCTCTTTTGGTTAGGTTTCTTTTGTGTGTTTTGTGAATGTTTTTCCCATCCGTCAAGTGTGTTCATTTGTATTAATGAGTTCAAATACTCAGTGATGTTTTTACGGGGGAATTGATATGTTGATGATGCTTTTGTCGCCACATCATATCGTGTAATATCCACTCTCTGAATCTGGCATTGACATTCTCCGTTTAAACTCAACACAGGCAGTTATTTTATTAAGATGATTTATTATTATCATATCTACCATGTGCTTTCTTTTTTCGTGTATTTCGCTGCAATGTGTAAATGAGGCAACAGCAACAACAGACACAGACATATTTTTGTGCGTCATTTCCGCTGTGTTTTACATGGGTTGTTGTTGTCTCCTGTTTCATTCCACAATGAGACGTCTGTGACTTGAACATGATATTTTCAGGACTTTGACAAAAAAGATTGTTGGCTTGAAGGGTAAACAAATGATTTAGTAACACTGCTAATGTTATTTTTTTGACATGAAGACATTACAAACATGTGTTTTATTTTTCTCTTCTTTTGTCAGCTTTTATTTTTGTAATATAAAATATCAGTCGGTATCAGGTAACATTTTCCAGAATGTATTTTGAGCATTTTGAATGATATTGATGAGGCTGGCTCCATTCATATCAACATTTATGCAGAGATCACTGTATGAACGGTAATACATATTAAAACCACGTACGCTACAGATTAACAAATATGTTTTATTCATCCAATACTTGAAAGAAAATATCTACTGTATTTATTTAATCATTTAGTCATTAAAGTGAATTAAAGTTATCAATTTGAAAAGTGAATCCTGTCTTGTTTTTATTGAACGTTACTTAAAGGTCCCCTATTATACTGTTTTTCATCAATATATTATAGGTCTCAGATATAAACAAACAGTGTTGGGAAAGTTACTTCCAAAATGTCATACATTACATATAACTTATTACTGTCTTTAAGTAATAAGTTACATTACAATATTACTCTCTCTGAAATGTAATGAGTTACACTACTTTTATATTACTTTTGAGTGGCTTTACCAAAATAACCTCAAAAGAATGGCTAGGTATTTTAAATGCTAAAATGTAGTTTAGTGCAGCTCATTATGCATCCAGTGAAGGGCGATGTGTATAGCATAACAACTGTGTAGGCCATTAAGGCTACTAACAACTGTTATTACACGGCTTGGTCAGGGTTCGAGTTATAAACTGAGCTCTATGGGGGTCTTTAAAACTAACACGCATGCACGCACGCACACACATGAGCCCGAAGGGTAAACACCAGGCTTACTAATCTACCCGCACAATTTTTCTCTGGTGTCGGAATGTCTCGTGATGTTAGTGAATTCTTAAATCCCCTCTGTTTCAGCCCTGTTTCCAAAGTGCTGATTCTCTGTCTGTTACTTTAGATGAAAATAAGGAGCCCCTCCCCACGCCCCTCTGAGAGATATTTAGTTAAAAAGAACACAGTGGTGCTCTAGGAGGAGATTCAGGTGATAAGGTGGGGGGTTACCTTGGTTGGTGATTGGCTAATGGTTACACAAGCCAAAAAATCGTTATGACATCATAAAGTGGCCAAAATCTGATCAGCTAATTTTCAGACAGGTTTTTATAGAAATGGATCAGGACAAAAAGAGAGAGAATCTTTGTTCCTGAAACTTTCAGAATCTCTTTCCACAGAGGGGACACATGTTTATGTAGAAGAGACATGAAGAAGAGGGGACACATGTTGATGTAGAAGAGACATGAAGAAGAGGGGACACATGTTGATGTAGAAGAGACATGAAGAAGAGGGACACATGTTGATGTAGAAGAGACATGAAGAAGAGGGGACACATGTTGATGTAGAAGAGACATGAAGAAGAGGGGACACATGTTGATGTAGAAGAGACATGAAGAAGAGGGGACACGTGTTGATGTAGAAGAGACATGAAGAAGAGGGGACACATGTTGATGTAGAAGAGACATGAAGAAGAGGGGACACATGTTGATGTAGAAGAGACATGAAGAAGAGGGGACACATGTTGATGAAGAAGAGACATGAAGAAGAGGGGACACATGTTGATGTAGAAGAGACATGAAGAAGAGGATTTTGCATAATAGGTGATCTTTAATACTGCTGTCCGTTGTTTATAACATTATTTCATGTACTGTGAAGTGTTCGTTTCTTATTGTCTCACTCGTGATTCCATTAAATTGTAAATTACATGACACAGTAGAGACATAAGGACATAAGAAATGATCCTAGGTACAACTGGGATAAGGTCAACTAGATACAGTATGTTCCACCATGACTAAATTGTTTTTAATAATATTGGAAAATCTGAAGGCCGTCCGTAATTTGGCGCTGCCGAGGAATTCATGTTCACTTTAAGGTAAAAATCAAGAAATAAGAGGGCAATTATTTCATAAACTTCGGACTTCTTTTTGCAACCAGTTGAGAGTTGAGTGTGTGTGTGTGTGTGTGTGTCTGTGTCTGTGTGTCTGTGTGTGTGTGTGTGTGTGTCTGTCTGTGTGTCTGTGTGTCTGTGTGTCTGTGTGTCTGTGTGTGTGTGTGTGTGTGTGTGTGTGTGTGTGTGTGTGGTGTGTGTGTGTGTGTGTGTGTGTGTGTGTGTGTGTGTACCAGTGTCACATGATCACCAGCAAACGGGGATTATTTAACATTGCATAAGGTTCGGACACCATTCTGTGACCTTTAACCTTTGTGGGGGAGGGAGACAGGTCAATGTCCAAAACATGTTGGAAACAGAGTCAAACAGAACAGCATGTACTCAAGGGTTCCCACTTAACTAAAACATCCCGACATGTCCCCTAAAGAAACACATTTGTATCACCTTCTGACTATGTCCTCAATGTCAAAGCTCACAAGCTTAAACTCCTCAAATAAAAAAGACACACATGACAACACACACACATTTACTTACAACAGTTTGCGGATCAATACTGCTTGATTTTAGGGAGTGTGTCAGAGGTCAGAGGTCAGGGTGCCACTTTTTGAGTCATTGGCAATGAGGACTAGTCAAAGGGAATTTAGAAAAACAATATTTTGAATTTGTTTTTTTAATCAACAATCAAAACGACAGATAATTTGTACCATTGCAACAACTCACAGTCAATCTGATGAACCTCTGTAGTGAGACTCTTTACTTTACAAAAGAAATAAACACATTAATTGCAAAAAAAAACGTTTTAAAAAAATGTTATGAATATGATGCATTCAAAGAAAATGTGAATTTAAACTAACAAAATTATACGTTATGTTAATACGTGTGTGTGTGTGTGTGTGTGTGTGTGTGTGTGTGTGTGTGTGTGTGTGTGTGTGTGTGTGTGTGCGTGTGTGTGTGTGTGTGTGTGTGTGTGTGTGTGTGTGTGTGTGTGTGTGTGTGTGTGTGTGTGTGTGTGTGGTGTGTGTGTGTGTACTTATACTCCTCACCATATGGTTCTCCTGTCATTGTGATCACTCAATATCTCTTACTGTTAAAACATGTCAATATTTCCGCACATATCAAATATGATCAATTTAATAATGATAAAGGAACATTACAAAATCACAAAAGAAGAGCATTTGAATAAATATTAAAAGATACAGAATAAACATGATATCTTTAATTAGCATTTTATTTATGTTAAATTACAGGAAAACCTTTTTTTATTTTGAAATACTCTGGGTATTTTTAGGAACAGATTTGGGAACAACGGTCACATGTATGTAGGTCAGCGTGTATGTAAATGGGAGAGGTCAGATGGCGTGCGCCGGGGGTGGCTGACCTCTGACCTCTGACCCTTTAACCGCTCTGCGTCTGCAGCTGCTGACAAAGCAGCGCAGCAGGAGTCAACAGCTGGATTTAAACAGGCCTCGCCGGCTCAGAGATTACGATTATTTCTTATTTAAATGAAGCAATTTGTTATCGTTCAAACGTTGTATGGATCAAAGTCATGGCCACATTATCAAAGACTAATAAGGGAATTTAATGCTAGTATCTGATGGTTATATTTACTCACTTTTTTTGGTGTTAGTGTGCATTCATGTTTTTAAATGACCCTCTATGTTTGTATATTTGTACTTATTTACATGTGTGATATATCAATTCAATTGTAAGCTCAAAGTAACAAAAACAACAAGAGGAATTGATTATTTCAGGTCAAAGTGATTATATATAATTTCTACGGAAGCAGACTAGGGCCAAATGTAAAATACATGCAGTATATTTTATAAATGTTCTTAATATAATTTAGATTTTTCAACTTTTTTAAATAGAAATGATTTGCTGAGTCCTAAATTTCAAGTCAAAATTCAGAAAAATATGTTTTATATTTCTGATATTTACATTATAATTAATTATAATATAACAAATGACAAGATAAAAGACATTATGAACGGAAAATATTGTTTTAAAAATAATTTTTGTATCGCATGCTGATAGTTTAAAATGCCACAATTTACCCACATTTAAAAAGTAATCTAATTCTCTTGTATTTGGGTTTAAACCCTAAAATAAGAAGACACCTACAGAACCTAATTATGGGCTGAAATGGTGACTTCTGGAAATATATCAATATGCTTCGTCCCTACGGTTGAACTCACTGTGTGAATGTGTTCTGGCACATGGAGCAGCTCTTCTAAACTGCTGTTGTCTCCGATTCAATCATGTAGAGATATTAAATATTAATACCCCTCCTCTTCCTACTCTTCCTCTTCTTCTTCGTCTTCTTCTTCTCTTTGATCAGCAGTGTGAGGCCGCGGTCTCGCTCTGCAGCCGTCGTGCTGATTGTCGGCAGCACAGAGGGAATCAATAAATCAAATGTTATGATTAAAGAGCAACAAGCCTCAGGGCATTAATAATAACCATGCAGGAGGAAGATGAGGGTCCTCTAGTTAATAAGTGATGACTGTGCTGTGATTTTTGGAATCACTGTCAACAAAGACAGGGGACACAATACTCTGCTTTGTGGCTTATGATTATATTTGACTTTAACAAGTATTATGAGGGTTATGTATTATAAGGCTTATGCAGTGGCGTAAAGTAACTATACATTTACTCAAGTACTTCAGTACAATGTTGGGATACTTGGTATTATATATACTTCTACTCCACTGCAGTTCAGAGGTAAATGGTGCACTACATGTATGTAATCCCTTTAGTTACTTAAAGGTGGGGTAGGTAATTCCCTTCAGAAACAGTTTTTGTTATATTCCATGGAATGCTCTTAACATCCCGATAGCAATGAATATCTGAAGTGCTTTGACAATAAATCCATAAAGAAATGTCATCTGTGGAAGCCGTAGTACTGTAAAAAGCACGCCCAATCATCTGAGCCGGCCCGGCTAAAGTAACTGGATGGCCTACCTGCCTGTCAGCCTTCCATCTGTGCACAAACTTATCTGGTGCCCTCATTGGTCATGTGCGCGTTCGTGTGTGTTGGAGGAGGGGCTCTGTAAGGAAGTGGCAGATTTGTTCCGGCTGTGTGTTTTGAAATTCTAGCGCACTCGAGCTGGTTTCTCCAAAATGACCTACCCCACCTTTAAGAGAATTGGATTAATGATGTGAAATATAATCAAGTCTTAAATCTGTTGTTCCACCTGGAGTAAATAAACGTACTTTATACATGTTGTTCGACAGGAGCACAAGAACACACATGTTATCGGTAAAATCCAGTTTTTCAGGAAAAGACAGCAGTGATACATTTAGGATAACATGCATAGATTTGAGAGCTTTAATTGAGTGAGCAAAAAGTAGGTCAAGATTTCTATAAACGTGTAATTAAAAGTCTAATAAATTATGTTGGGAGCGGGCTGTATTTTTA